TAATAATACAATATTATATATACAGTGCTGTGCTTAAATAATTTTAAAATTAGCTAGATAAAGATGAGATAAAAATATGTAAATTTATCTTACGATTAGATGAGATAAAGATGATTTGTATAGGAGATAGAAGATAAAATTATATGGCGATTCATCTAGATAATAATTTTTAAGACTGCTTATATGCAAACAGTTATAAAATATATATATTCATATTTTTATTTAGAAATTTTTAAGTATTTTTATGCTATGATTCTAAATCAAAATTATCTGAGAATTATTCTAAATATTTTAGTAAAGATAATGCTTTTTTTCATCTAAGATACAGATATAGATAATACATATTTTTATTATCTATATAAAGATGAGATGACGCCAAAGTTTTATCTAGATGATCATAATAGAATTTTGAAATAAAAAAAAATATGCGGTAAATTCTTCTCGAGCATAAATTATTATTTTAAGCTCATTCATATAAAATATCATTTCTTGTACGAAGATAAATAATTTTTAAGACTGCTTATATGCAAACAGTTATAAAAATATATATATTCATATTTTTATTTAGAAATTTTTAAGTATTTTTATGTGCTATGATTCTAAATCAAAATTATCTGAGAATTATTCTAAATATAATTTAGTAAAGATAATGCTTTTTTTTCATCTAAGATACACATATATAGATAATACATATTTTTATTATCTATATAAAGATGAGATGACGCCAAAGTTTTATCTAGATGATCATAATAGAATTTTAAAAGACACGAAATAAAAAAAAAATATGCGGTAAATTCTTCTCGAGCATAAATTATTATTTTTAAACTCATTCATATAAAATATCATTTCTTGTACGAAGATAAAATAATTTACCTAAGTCTTCTTCCACATCTCACGAATGATAATTTATCATTTGAAAAACGTGACAAATCTTTTTTTCTTCACTCCAAGTATTGTTGAATGAATCATAGACTTGGCATTAGAGGCGGTCATTTGGTTCTATAAATCTCTCAGATTATAATAAAATGACAACGTTTGATGCTAGATAAATAAAAGGTTGGAGTCGAACGCCTACATTTTGCGCTAAATGCGAATATGGGCCCGTAATAATCGAGACAACTCGGCTGCATGACGCATCGAACAGATATACGAACCTATACACATAGAAATATCTGCGATTCTACACGTGGCGCATAAAAAATACTGTCTATTCAAACCCCCGACGACACGACGGAATGCGGCCCCGTGGGATATCCAGCGTATACATATATGCATCGCGGTCGAAACACGTGGGATGTCCGAACATCGACCATCTGTTTGCGCGTTTTATTCTAGCTCGCTTCTCTTTGCAGAAAAAATTTTTCGCTGATTTTTTAATTCACGAGCTTCCGTCTAATATTACAATACATGTATACTGATGTAGAGAATTTGTTTTAGAATTTATCCTGATAATCGTGAGGCATTATAGTATTGGAAGAATTTGATAAAAATTTCTCTGATTAATATTTATCGCAATAAAATATAAAATATGTTTGATTATTTTACTAATATTAATATTTACAATAAAAATATTAATATGGAGTACATAGTAAATTGTACATACTAATATTTTTATTGTAAATATTAATTAGAGAAACTTATACAATTTTTCCGATTGATAAAATTCTACCATATTGTTCCACGATTACCATAAATTTCAGAATAAATTTGAAGAGAAAATTCTCTCCACGTGTAAAATATTTTTTTATTTCTTTATTTTTATTTTTATTTTTATAAAATTATATGGGTAATTTAAAGAAAGAAAATCATGGTAAATCGTGAAACAATATGATATTGGAAGAATTTTATAAAAATTTCTCTGATTAATATTTATCACAATAAAATATAAAATATGTTTGATTATTTTACTAATATTAATATTTACAATAAAAATATTAATATGGAGTACATATAGCAAATTACTATGTACATATTAATATTTTTATTGTAAATATTAATCAGAGAACCTTATACAATTTTTCCGATTGATTAAATTCTGCCATATTGTCCCACGATTACCATAAATTTCAGAATAAATTTGAAGAGAAAATTCTCTCCACGTATAAAATAGTTTTTATTTTTATTTTTTTATGAAATTATATATGGGTAATTTAAAGAAGGTTTAGAGATATGAAGAGAAATTATTTGAGAATAGCAGCGAAATTCTTTTCGCACTTCTACCATGCGATTAAATCGTATATTATATGATGGATTCGCAGAAAAGCGGGCAATCATATATCATTATCTAGCCCTGACTTTCATTTGTTTCCGCATTAAATAACACGTATGCATTATTTAACTTCTCTTTTCCGCATATTCTCCAACACAGAATTGCTGCATAAATTTCAGATTTATAATTGATCCAAGTTATTTATATATTTTAATTTTGCATTGCGATGAAGAATTCAAGAATATATAATTTTGCAATTGCATACAATTCTCAATCATAATATATTGTACCAAATAAAATATATCAAAATTTTGTAATATACAAGTATGTTTTCCGACGTCATTGCTGCATA